AGATAGCTCGTAACTTCATCCTCTCTTATTAGTTAAGCCCTATGACTTCAACGCCTCAGCCTTGAAAAATAGGTACAAATTTCTCAGGCGAATGGTATTGTCAGCGTACTTAATCTGTGACCAAACAGTTTAAAACGGTAGCCGTTGACCACTTACAGACATGCAATAAAACAAAAATAATTACCGGAAAGTGATGATGAGTTTGACCAAAGCGTCTGCTGGCATACTGTGGGGGTAAGTATACTGAATTGTAGGTTTAAAGACAAGGGTTGCTTGTCTTTGTATACCGTGCGTAAGGAGTTTAACGAAGCGACGATTATCCGCCCATACATTCACACAGTTCGCTATAAAAGTCGCCTTTGCATAAGATTAGGCGGCTCTTCATACCCGCATACCAAGGGTCTGCAGATGTCTTAGTCATCCATCCATATGCTGTTTAAACGATGGCCACGACCGAGCTAGATGCTACGTTCACCCACTTCTTTAATGAATCCATCAAAGTGACTAGATCACCCACGTCAGCTGGACATGGAGGCGCATATATCCGGTAGGAGCCCTAAGAGAATGTTTAACAATTGTTTTAGATGCGATCTGATAGACAAATTTGGAGAACAGAGTACAGGTACCGTCGACTGAATACTCCCAGTCGATATTTAGTTTCTGAGCGCGAGTGACGTGCTGCATATACACCAAGGAGGATTATATTACTAGAAGCCTCGTGTACTCAAAGCCTAGTCTTAAAATTTGTTTTACGTTAATTCTTGAGTTTTCCTTGAAGCCGGACGAAGGGCACGCACGCCTGTCTGCTCCGACGATCGGTTTAATGATTGCCTTGGCTGTACCCTTATTAGCTTTTGCTCGTCATGCTAAGAGTTTCACTGTCTATCGGGACCATGCATATATCTTCGGTTGGGATACCCAGGGCCGTAATATCCTTCTGGGTTAATTTTATTCTCGATGAATTTTGGGTTAGGGTATTGTATCTCCATAACGGGGTCCACTGGCTTCTTAGCTTCACATCCCCAGTTATGCCCAAACACGCGCAGCACGGACCAAGACCTACGGTAACACTGGGGAGGTCTGCTAGCGCCCACAGTTATAAGCTCCAAAATTTTGTTATTT